GAGCCACACTACAGTTTTATGCCTAACGTGAAAATTATAGCGGTCTAAGGGGAGTAACTTGAGCGCATTTTCCATAACACAGATCGATACTTCCCGAAAGGCTATGTGGATACAAGCAAGACACAAACCAAACAGTTGATCATGCACAGTCTGATTTATACCTACTATCTAATATTTAGGCGTGACCTAAAATCGCGCGGTCATCATTCGCTATAAACAGTGTGACTAAAGCCACGAAATATAGAAAGTACCGCAATCATCCGCCATTTTTGGGCAAATTTGCTGCCAACTTAAAAAAATTGACAAATAAAATCTGAATAGCTGTCATTTTTTATAACCTAACTTCATAGTACTGTCATGCTTTATAAAAATATATACAGATATCTCCAAACAGGTGGAACAATCCCTAACATTAAAGTTACTAGAATCTGGTAACTTCCGCCATTTTTGGGCAAAAATCATGCGTTCTCTCTCTAACACAGGAGCCCAATGGATTGCGGTACTTTCTATATTTAGTGACTTTAAGTGTGACGTCACGTAACATCGCGCGTTTGCCATTCGTCGTAAACGCTGTGACGTCACGCAACATCGCATCTTTCCCTAGCAGGTCAGCAACCAGCAGCGCTCTTTAGCCTACACCTCCAGAGTTATTTATTAGCCTGGATAATTTTTACTCTTCAGCGTTTCTCGGCCTGAAGCCCAAGCCCTCTGGGGCCAAGCAAATGCCGCCATTGACCCCAAAGAAGGAACGTCGACATCGCCAGAGCATCATACGAGAGATTTTCAACAGACCAATTGTTCCCACGTGCTTGAGCTCGCTACCGCCAGCACTCGTCAGGGTGCACCAGATCATCCGCTGGGTGCAGATTCCGATAGCTGACGTGTCAGTAGCCTACCGGTACATTAATCCAATATCGGTGTCTCCCCATAATTTTATTGTTCGTATAGTTGAGGTTCTCCTTCTATCTGGTCCATGAGTTCATCTAGGGTAGAGAGACTTAACTCCTCAGCATGTGGGATGCTGACGATGTACCAGGCAGGGCTACAAAATCTGTGTTTCAGATAGACGCTCTTTTATACCCATATTCAGCGCCATGTTTCACAGCTGCTCCAAGATTGTTGTATTGAGAGACATATTATTCCACAGTAATGACATGGTCCCTTTTTTTCTGACTTGTAGTGTACTTAAGCCCCAGATTCTACGCTAACTTTACACTACAAGAACACGGAAATAAAGTCATCCCGGCAACGTTTAAAAATGGCCACCCGAATGACTATTCCCTCCAAAACTAAACAAGATTCCGCTTCAATTTGAAAAGTGGCTCGTGATCAAACATCTAAGGCAGGGCCCCCTTACGTTAGTTGTAGACAACGCTTTGACCTGAAGCACAGTAGGGAAGGAACTTTAAATAAAACACTGAAATTGTGAAAAGTTTGTTTAATAATGATCGTAATTATTAAGATTGTGAAAGCCCGGAAATTTAGTTTATGTACATTAATATAAACAAAGCAAGCAAATCCAAAAGGTGTCGTACTTTCGCAAAAGTAACTGCTAAGGGTAAAAAGAGTACGACGTAAGAAAAACCTCGCAGTTTGATTAATACAGTCCAAAAGTTAATTAACAAAATATTTTGTAAAAGTTTAAACAGTAGCAGATAGTTAATGCATATGCACAATGTTGGTTACACTCAAGGTTAAAAGCAAGTTTTTGGGAACAATGGGTCAGGTAGGAGTAAATTCTGAGAAAGGGTTAAGAGCACAGTATGTGACTCATCTTTGGTGCAATAAAGTCCTTTTGTTAAAAGCTAGTTGGAATATTACATGGCCTTGTAGACAAATTTAACTAAAAACAAGTATGTGGAAATTACTGAATCGTCACTCATTTATCGCACATAGATTCTAAACTGAGAGCTTTGATTAGCGTAATCCCGCTCCGGCAAGATGGGTAGCCCGCACTTGGTTTCGAGGTTTCTAGCCTACAGTTGAATGTCGAAGACAATCACGGAATTAAGTGTCGTTCTTCAAATGGTTACAGTTTTTACCACCCCGTGAGAAAATTGTTAGTAACAAATAACAAGTCAGTACATACATCAAACAAAACTGTAATTTCCACATATTAAAATCAAATGATCAAAACTTATATGAATGTTACTTCAGGGACAAGACCAAGTAATCAACATCAATAAACATAAATTAGGCAAGCATTACACCAAAAACGTAAACAATAGCATAACGGTATTCGGTATAACACATGCGATTCTGCATTACGGTTAAACCAAGTAAATTTCAAAAACAGAGATTGAAACACACAAAAAATATAAAATGTGGCATACAAAACACAAACACGATATAAAGAAATGCAAAGATTACTACCTGCATTAAATAACAAAATTAACAACAAACATTTATGGAGCGACGCCTTCACGAGCACGACCGCCATTTAAGACAAGATCATCAACGTAACCCCCGTTCGTGCGTTCCAGATGGTGCAAATCGCTTTCCCCTCCAAAATTGCGTGGTTGCCAACTCTCAGAAATGTATGTATCGTCGTAAGTTGTATATACAGGGTGGAACCTCTCAGACTTCTTCTTCCTTTCTGCCACAAGGAGCTCTTCAGTTATTTTGCCTCCGCAGAGGCAACAGTGTTTGCGATTTCACACGAGCAACACTGTGTCGACACGTGGAACTACATCGCGCACTCAGTTCCAGCACAGATCTACACATACACAGATTGCTAACCTTATGCATTTTTTGGGAAACAAATTTAGATATACTTAAAAGCGCCCTCTATTGCGGAGCAGTAGAAACATGTACCGTTTAAAACTGTAATATGACGCTTATGGATTTATGCATTAGATGTCGCTGCAAAAAATTTAAAGCGGTAAAATGTGCATATAATCCAGTTTAATTGTATTTTTACCAGGAAAGTTGTGGGGTAGTTTTGATTTCTTTTATTCTATATGTTTTTTGGGGTGCCGAATCCGAATCCGAGGTTTGCTAACAAAATTTCATGACGCAACATTGAAAAAAATACAAAAAAGTTGAAAAGGATATTTTTTAGCAGTTTTGTGCTTACAACTGGAAAACTATCAACTTTTCGAAAATAACCTCCCTATCTTATATCTTATCGACGTGGTAAAGAGTGTAACGTTAATGATGGCAGAGATATACATAGTTTGTAAGTATGCCTTTGCGGTTAGCAATCTGTCAAGACCTTTAAAGCCGCAAATAGTTTCCGCCAACTTCAAAAAACCTTCACGATTCTTTAAGAACCTGCCCTATGTTCGTGTGTATCTGTGACCACAGGGACCCGCTTTTAATAACTCCCTTACGACGAATGAGTAGCTCCAGTGTTAAATTAAACAATTATGGCTCAACGTACCTCCTATCATATCATACCACTGTAATAATACGAATATTAAGGAATTCGAATTGTGCAAACTTTAGCGCTTTAATTTTGTTTCAGCGACATCTAACGCATAAATCCATAAGCGTCATATTACAGTTTTAAACGATACATGTTTATACTGCTCCGCAATAGAGGGCGCTTTTAAGTATACCTAAATTTGTTTCCCAAAAAATGCATAAGGTTAGGTTAGCAATCTGTGTATGTGTAGATTCTGTGGTTCCAGGAACCTCTGCTAGTGTCGCTCGAGTGACGTTTAAAATTAAGTTAAAGTTGCGAAGTCCGAAAAAAATATTGAAAAGCTGTATCTCGGAAATTTGAATTTATGGACTTGAGGTCTCATATCGCAGCAAATTCAGTATATTTTAAAAAGTGCCGCGAACGTATTATCGAAAACGTTCTTTTATGGTTAAAATCTGACAAAAAGTGGAAAAGTTTTTTTGACAAAGTTGCGCTCGGCGCTCGAGGTCACCAACTTGCATAATTGGACCAACATCATAAACGAACCAGCAAAAATCAGAATTACCGGATTTGATGCAAGGTACCTCCCCTTTCAGGTGACAAGATGAGTTATTTGTGCTTGTGCTCATGGGCGTAGCCAGGGTGGGGCAGGGTGGGGCGCTTGCCCCACCCTGGCTTCATACATAATTTATTAAATACGTACACCGAAAGATACCAAGTATTAATATATAGTATTAATATATATTTTAGTATTAATATAGAGTATTCAAGTTCCAATTTTATATTAAAACTGTAGGATTTTACTTTTCAAATTTGGCGTACATTTCGAATCTGGCCCAAACAATTCGGTTGGTCACACTGGCATCGCTAGCTGTCTCGATGTAGAGGTCGCAGTTCGCTCCATTCTCGCACAAGGGCATCGCCAAGGGGGGCAGCGGCAGGGAGGGGCAGCTTCCCCCCCTAGAGATTCTAAAAAAGTTGACAAATGTAAAGCAACAAATTACAAAAGTCCATCTAATTTGGAAAAAAGACTCTCAAAGTCTATAAAATTTGGGAGCGCTAACAATGTATATTAATGACCTTATGATGTTATTAAGGATTGATTTGGGGTCAAATTACAACAAGAATAGTAACTGTTTTGTAACAATTTGGAGCACTAAAACGGTGTCTCCGAGCTCCAATTTCGCAAAATTTGCCCGGGGGAGTGCCCCCGGACCCCCCCTTCCTGGGGGTACTCCGTACCCCCCAGACCCCCCGGTCGCTACTATGCGCCATAGTTTTCCATATCAACTTGCCCCTCCCTGGGCCATCGCCTGGCTACGCCCATGCTTGTGCTTGCACTTATTTGCTGGCCTTTTTCCTCTCAGAAAAAAGATCAGTACTGTATTCTCCATCTTTGTGTGAAAAAGGAGTCAGTTTTACATTCGCCGCCAAATGATAATGTAGACACGAAATACAGCAGCTAGGTATAATACTATAATTCCACGGATGTTCTTAATTTAAATTTCTGCGCCGTTTCCTACAATAACTGCTTGCGTTTCTTACTTGAAATGTTCACACAATCACTTATATTGTGAACTTCAGGTTAATACGAAATCTAGTTTATGTCTAATTAGCATTCTCTTTGTTTAAGGGGGGAGAAAGGAGCATCCACTCATGTCTCTGTGGTCCACGGCTACGCCGGGCCTAGAATTAGGCAAGGGAAGTGAGAGTAGTACGACAGCACATGCTCGCAATTGTGCCCTGGGTAGTAACTTCAAGGTAAGTGTGAAAATTTAATTTTCGTGTACTGGCCAACTCGTCGCCAAATAAGTAAGGAAGACAATTAGAGCCCAATACCATGCAGTATAAAAAGTATACCATATCATAAAACCATTTTTCCCAGGTTTATAAAAAAATAGTATCTACGTACACTGTGCTTCTCAACCATACGCAATTAGACCTATTTGAATAAATTTTTTCCTGTCTGGGAGAGGTTTGAACTTTTGGGCACTGACTTTTTTGTCATATGACTGTCATCTATAATGGGCACTGTGTCCAAGATAAGTATCGTCAAATTAGAGAAAAGTTGTTGTAGTTATTATCGTGCTTAAAAAAAAACAGAAAATCCGGATTACTTCCGAAGATATGCCAGAAAAACCGAAATTTGCCGATTTCGTTTTTATTCTTTTTCTGGCGTTATTTGAGCAAATACAGAAAAATAAAAATACTTTTTCATTGCCACTTTTTGGACCCTGGCACCATTGAGCGATTTTCAATATAACGTTTCGGTTCGGAGAAGTCAACTTTATTCTCGACTTTATTTTTGTATATGGTCTATACAAAAGTGCATACTGTATTGAATAACATTTTTTATTACAAAATTCAAGGATATAGGGCACACACAAAAAACAAAAGTTGGAAACTGTTGGTTTCAACAGGATGGTGCACCCGCGCACAACGCTCTAATCCATGTGCGGGGTGGGTGGGGAACCATCCTTTTGAAAACCAACAATTTCCAACTTTTGTTTTTGTGTGTGTGGCGTGTATCGTTGCATTATAATAAAAAATGGTATTCAATACAGTATGTATTTTTTTTATATTTACTTATATAAAAAATAAAGTTGATGGTTTCTTCAAAACGAAAGGTTGTATTGAACATTTCTCAAAGATGTCTTGTGTTTTTTATTTTTTTGTATCTGTTCAATAACATCAGAAAAAATAAAATCGAAATCGGCAAATTTAGGTTTATCTGGCATATCCTCGGAAGTAATCGGAATATTCCGGTTTTCTTGACAGCATAATGATGATTCATTAATTGCGCATCTTTTCTCTAACTCCTCTATGGTTTCCGAGATCTCCATGATAGCCATTCCTTATCTTGGACACAGTGTATATAGGTGCGTCTAAACGGGTATAGTAGGAGTCATTTTTTGTATTTATATTTTGATATTAACAAACGAAGTATAATATTTAAACTTCAATTAAAGTAAGTTTGAAAGGTACTATATTTCGAAATGTATAAGTATTTGTAACGTGCACGTTAAGTCCAATTAAAACTTGAATGTTGAACGCTTTACAAATTTCAGCCTAAAATGTCTCATTTGGGCGAGGAACTTCACACTCCTCGCTACCTGTCGTGGCGCAAGCTGCAGCTGAGCAGAGCGAAACTGAAAGCCTCCAGCAAAACTTCGGCGCTTCTGTCCGGTTTCGCAATGGTAGCGATGGTAGAGGTGCAATTACAAACGCCCACCACCATTCCATCCGCGGTGTTAGTGACTTTCGCGGTGATTACGACTCTTTTAGTAGCGGTGCACATGCTAGCCCTAATGATAAGTACGTGCATTCTTCCGAACATTGAAGCTATTTGTACCATGGACGCCATACATTTGGTGGAGGAGTCGCCCCACGAAAAACTACATTGGTATATCGAAACGGCGTGGGCGTTTTCAACACTGTTAGGCTTACTGCTTTTCCTTGCCGAAATCGCGGTACTTTGCTGGGTGAAGTTTTACGATATCGATAAAACGGCCGCTTGGTCCGCTTGTATAATACTTATACCTGTCCTTTTTGTTTTTTTGGCGTTCGCCGTTCATTTTTATCGATCGTTGGTGTCCCACAAGTATAAGATGACTGTATCGGGAATTCGTGAGTTAGAAATGCTAAAGGAGCAGATTGAATTGGGTGATGCCGACCATAATCGAGGTAACGGTATGAATGATGTATTATCAGCAGTACGTATTGTGTGACACTAACGATCAAAATCTGTGCAAAACTTCGAAGACTGTTCTTGCATATTTTGCTAGGAATATATGTTTTTGGTGGTATACATTTTTTATAGAATGCAGAATTTGGATTTCTCTTTACATTTCTCAAGACTGCTGTGAAATTAGATATTTTTACTAACTCACTGAACTATAAGTTAGTGCATATAAGGTTGAGATATTCATAGGGACATCTGTACTAGTCATTTGCAATGGGTCATTCGTGTCTTCAGAACGTGCCGATCTGTTATGTTGGGATCAAATAGCCAAAAAGTTTTGAAGAACATTGATCATTTTTCCTGTAATAATATTTCATACATTCCTGATTAACTTACCTGTCATTTTATCAAGTTGTTGCTCATGTTAGTATGTTGTAAGGTAGGATTATGGGAATTAATCAACATGAACACAGTTAGGAGAGACTACTAATTTTTCTTTTGTTTTTTTCTCTCCAGTGATTCTTTTAGTCTTACCAAATAAATATGCGTTAAGTTAGCCTGTAAATTAATCATGTACTTACACATTAGTATGTTATGTTACGTACCTAAATTAGTTAATTCCATTAATAATTGTAATCGCATACCGGTCGCCTAATTAAGATACGCAAAAGATATACTTTACGCAGATCTAAATTAGGCAGTCTGTAATTGTGGTACCTGTGTGATAAATGCCTTAAGACAATACTTTTAAAATATATCTTGTACAGGTTATTCAAATAAACGATGCTGTTTTTATTTATTTATTTCTATATTTATTTACAGATTTGTTCACAGGTTACGGAATGTCCACATGTATTCTCATCTGCGGCAGACAGTTTTCTTCCATCAAGATCTTGTAACATTATCTATAAGTTATAAGATACATTTTAATTATTAAGGTAAGTAACATTTGTAACATCGTGCTCAGTGCTGTATTACAACTCGTACAACTGTGGCGTAGCATACACTCAGACAAAAAAATAGCAAATCTTCCAAAGTGCATTTGAAATTCGGGACTTCTAACCAAAGATTATCGGACAATATACCTATTCGCGGAACAAACAAATTGCAGGATATAGAGAGCACAATTCCATCGAGTTAACCGAGGCTCCTCAAGCTAAGACAAAAAAACTAATATATGGAGTTCAAGAGCTCGAGACTAGAAAGAAACAGATACAGGGAAGAATTGGACCTGTATTAGGTGCTTTGTCCACGGTACACATGGCAAATACAGCGCAACATCATACTACACCTTCTCACTTATGAGTACATAAATAAATACTTAATAAGATAATATAAAAACAAACCCGCCTGTACAGGGCGGTTCAAATTCGTGGCTCGCCTTTGGGATCTCCGTAATGGTGGTGGTAACCGTCCATTTCCGACCGTATAAGCAAATGAAAATGAAATTTGTTTTTATTTTTCGGGTGATCTCAGTTATTTTCAAAGATTATTCCAAAATTTCAAATGCATTTTCACAAAAAGGGGCGGCTTTGACTCCAATTAACCCAGACTGTATATCCCACCGTTACGGAGATCTTTATAGTGAGCCACGTATTTGAACCACCCTGTACATTATAAACAAACAATGCCTATAATATCGGTACACAAAAGAAACAAATATCAAAATCTAATGTAAATAATAACCGATATAATAACAAACTGATGTGACATGAAATGTAAAGAAGAAATAAACATTCAGGAACCGTTATGCTATAACGATACTCGAGCTATCGAAAAACACTCGTTCAAAGAGTTGACTTTTCTGTCAAGCTTTATGCCCAAATCCTTGCATCCGATAGCTGCACAGAACGGTCAAATTCGATGACAATGATTACCTACTGTATACAAAGCGTTGCGTTTTTTCCCATAGTGCTGTTCTTTCCGCTTTTAAAGTATATTGCCTACAAAACAACTTTATTCGAGAGAACACCCCCTCCCCCCCCGACTGTTGCCCAAGCTTCATATCCAAAAGCCCTGTCCCCGGAAACTGCGCAGATTGATCAAAGTCGAAGTCTTATCACTGTTGCCTGACTTTTCAAATACGTGTGAAAGCTTAAGGCGTCAAGAAGTTATGGGGTAAGACGAAATTCGCTAGAATTACGCGATGTCCGTCAAGGGTCACGTTCATCGTTATCAAGCTTTCTAAGCAGCGTGTGTCAATTGTTGTTTCAGCGGGATCCATTCCACGCGGAGTTGAGTTATTTGTGTCAAGAATTCTGATTGGACGAAGAATTAGTCTTTATTGGTGGAAAGACTTGAGCGTCCTAGAATGGGTGTAAAGTAAAGTAGTGGGAATTCGGGTGTTCGACGAGAGCCGTCGTAAGGCAATTAATAAATAATAAATATGCTTTATTATGCAGCATAATCTCAGGGCGAGGTTCAGCAAATTAGTATCAAGAGCAGCAAATTAGTATTAAGACCGCGCGAAGTTAAATCAATCATCCGTAGATAATCGTATTCTTTCATTTTGTGTTAGAAAAACTCGCATGAACTCGTAGTAGCCCTTAGCAGGGTTGGATTTACGTATGGGCCCAGGGCGGCAGAATTCAGGGGCGGCAAACTTTGGTTATGTGAAAAAAATTACTTGTAGGTAATAAATTTGTAAACATAACAATTTGTGTATTGGCATTGTTTAAACAATCATTCACTTAATATATTCCATTTATTTCGTAGTCGTAGTCCTAACATAATGAAATATAATATGGTATGTTCCGGGACGCGACAGTATTTGTACGCAAGTACCTAGTCAGCCGATAGTTCTAGCTCTGGGGCTTGAAGGTATCGTTTGAAGTTGCCGAGTCCGCCAGCGCCGTCAGGCCAGGTTACCGCCCCTCACCCCTCTATCTGATCTGAATATATCTTTTTTTGTTGATTGTTCTTAATCCAACAGAAATTTTTCGACTTCCTTTCATGATTTTTTGGCATTTGACATTTCATATTTTATGGTAAAAACAATAACTGCAATTATAAGAAGCGAGGTACTTGCATAGTAGTTTTGTGAGCTTCCAGTAAATAAAGTTAAGTGGGTTTAAATCAAACGCGAAAAAGGTTGTGAATTACAGTTTAAAAGGGGTATTTTTCGGTTTAAAAACTATCACCATAAATACGAACAATCGTGGAAATGTTTACCCATAAAGATAACAACGCTCTGTCCTTAAATAAAGTTTTTTTATGTCTTACTAACCTATCATAGCACATTTTATATCTGTGATACTGTAATGCCCTAGGGCATTAAGTATCACCATAATAACTCATTTATACTAAATGACAAAACAAATAAATATTTGCAGGTCATTGAAAATTAGAAACGTCAATTATTATGAATTGTCAATACCTACTAAATCACAAGATTGGCCTTGTTTTGAATAGTTTCTGGAACTTCTTCCTCATTCACGATGAATTGAATTATTTAAAATTACGTGTGACGTTTGGATGGTTTCAATCACATTAACAAATTCAAATCACGCATACCTGATCAAACGTAATGAATTATTTTGTAAACGAATATTTACTTTGACGAAGAAAACTATTTGTAAGACATAACATTTTGTATGTACCACGGGCATAAACTGATGTTTATACTCTCGGGCGACTAAAAAGCGCTTGGGCCTATTAACTCGTCGCCCACGAGAATATAAGCATCACTATTATGCCCTGAATACATAAATAACTATTACGAGACAGGGAAACTATTACGATAAATGCAAATAATAGCATAAAAAAATCATCGTAATATTCTAATGGTGAATTATGAATAGACTAAAAATTCGTGACGTAGTTCTAGGCCCATCTGCAGCGGTCGATTATCCGCACATAACTTTTTTTTTACATTGACGCTTACCGTCGGATTACATAATTTGGCGTAATCGTGTATATATTTACCTCTGGAATTGGATATGGAGTTGGTATCGAAGAACATTGACGGTAAGGAATGTCAACCAAATCGCTATTAACACAAATGTCCATCTCCCAAGTACCTTCTTGCATTTGGCCCGTTGCCAAATGGAAAAATCTTCCCTTGCCATGTTTCAAGTCTAAGTACCAAGATCCTTCATATCGATTACCATCAGGTCGAACCCACATTCCTGCGCCCTGTCTGAAATCGTTCCTCCAATCGCCAATGTAATAACCGCCATCAGGATACCACATTTGCCCATGACCGTGGCGTTTACTTCTCTTAAGGTGCCCCAAATAGTATCCTTCGTCACTATAATGCTTCTGGCCAAATCCACATTGGAAACCCTTTCGCCACTCCCCTTGATATTCCAGAATAAATATGTTTCCTTTGGGCCAACAAAGAACGCCGAAACCGTCTCGTAGATCATTCTTCCAATAACCTTCGTACAGCCTTCGGGTGCGTGTTAAACAAACGCCCGTTCCTGAAAAATAAATTATGAACGATCACATATTCTTCATCCGTAATGAGAAAAAACACCTTCTTTGACATTATCCTTCCACTCTCCAATGTACCTGTCGTTCCAAATGTTGTAAACAGATTTTCGCAGACCATTCTTGTTTGAAAGATGTATTAATTTCGCGCTCTTTGATTGCAATTTACTTTTATCCTTTAAAAATGGCATTCCAATTTGAATCAATTAGATGTATGTAAGTACTCTAATTCGTCCTATTTAATAAAAATTATTTATCTGTCCAATAAAATTGGAATAGGTGCTCAACATGTTGTAAACGAGATAATCGCGCTTTCCCGGCACTACTGAAAATGGTATCGTGACACTCGCGATTCGTTAATTGTCACTCACTTGACGTTTAATTTGTGAGGAAATGGCTTTCTCGGATAACGATCGTGAATTAGAACGTTAGATAGGTAGGGTGCCTACCTATACAGTCTAATCAATATTCCATTTACGAAATGTTTCAATTGCTTAGATCACGAACATTCTTCTCTGATAGCCATACGAGGTTTGATCGAATAAACCGATGCAAAACGTATGATTGCATTTTTTATTGAGGCCGGAGGGGGAGAGGCTCATAAATTGTTAACATTTTTATCGAAAAGGAATTACCTAAAAGATTCATGAGAATTTCAATCATAGGTAAATTGTTAACATTTTTATCGAAAAGGAATTACCTAAAAGATTCATGAGAATTTCAATCATAGGTGTATTTTTTTGTTGAATTTGTAGGAAAAAGCAGTTACTCTTCTCTTTACGGATGCAATTGGTGGGTAGGTGGGTACTAGAAATGTACTTCCACTGACATCTACATCGGAAAACAGCTTTGAATATAAAATTAATTCAAAGCATTTTTTACGAAATATGAAATAACTCTAATTACGGATATGAAAAAACAATTTATCTCAGAATCTTTTCTTTATCCACTTCCGCCAACATAACATGCAGCAATTACTTTTCACCGATCATCTTCCTTCGTAAAAACATATTAATGTTAATGACAACATACTGACAATGTACCTCCCTCTTGGTGATCGGTTATTACTAGATATCGTCATGTCATCATAAGATATCGCACTTACAATCTTTTTGCTCCTTTTGGGGGTACCACCTCGAAATTATATTCATTATCTGCAAGGAAGAAAGCCACCTCCCGTACTCTTGGCGACTTAACCGCTTCGTTAATTCAGATGAGCATGAGTGTGAATCCATTTATATCCGACGTGAGAGGAGAACTTTGAAGTTGACTTTGTCAATGGCTTTGTGAATTAACTGCGTTTTCGTAGAGCTTTGCATAAACTATGGAACCCACCGTATGCTTCACATATTGCATAATCAGACTTGAACCGTTTGAATTCAGGAGGGCGCTCTCGGTCAATTATCTACAATCAGACAAAAACACAAAACAAAACCGGAGTGATAGCGTGGCATATACCTAAAGTGCTAGAAAAAATTTAACGTTTGTCATGTCGAGTAACTCGAACACGAAAATCATAACTAATATTCAATGGAAATTGGATAGCAATAATGTAATTTACGTTAGATGTAGATAACAAAAGCAAAATTTTGGATCGAGACGAGTTGTCTGTATACAAATCAGCAATACGTCTTCAGGTGTAAAAAATTCGGCGATTATTCATGCGATTATTTATAAATAATCGCCGATCCATGTGATAAATGTGGGGTGCATTTGATCTTAAAACTGTAGGGAAAGGGAAACTATTTTATTTAACGTGTACATCGATTACATGGAAAAGTGGACAAAACCTTTATAATATATTAAATAACTTTTTCTGGATAACATTAGAGGAAGTGTAATGGAGTGAAATTGAAAAAGGCTTACAATATATAAATAAAAAAATAAATGACTTGCTTGATCAAAGGTTAATATTAAAAAACTACATAAAGAAAAATTACTGAAAATGAAGATGACAATTAAGATGGTTCCTGAAGATATTTTTTGTTTTTGAATTACCATGTGTACAACAAAATTTGCTATTAAACGTAAAGTGAATACGTATATTTTTGATTGTGTAATTTAAATTAAACGAAATTAGCCCGCGATTCGGATTCGCGAACGAGTGACGTGCATTCGCATTCAGTCAAAGAAAAGACGTTTTTGTATGCACGAAAGCTGAACTGAAAATTTGCGTTTAGAAGCAGCATTTCAACGCCAATCGACGAGGTTTGTAACAGTTTATTTTCTCCATTATAACAAGAGGCTCCTTCTATTGTTGGAATTTAAAAACGCAATTTTACCGCGCAGTGTGTATCGATGTTCACTTTCTTTCTGTCGATCACCATATCTAGTTTACCCTTCGTTCAACTAAAACAGCTTGAAGCGTTAGTTTAGAACGCAGGGAATTTTAATTTCCATCAGTAATAGGTGCTTATTAATCTCTGACTGGATTCATTAATTTGAGGATTCTGGAAATATTGTTATCACCTAAAAACTCCAATAGTGAGGATATAATTGCGTTTTTTTAATCTTATCGTAAGTATCACCATTTGCATTTTCCGTAATTGAAGTGTACTTTTCTTTAGGTTCGGCTGTAATTTGTGTACGACAATTTTTCCATCGACAATAAAATTGCTGATTAATTTACCATTAGCGATTTTATTTAATAATAATAATAATAATAATAATAATGACATTTATTTCCACGTAATACCAAAACCAAATAAGTATAAAATATATATAAATGAGTAACACATAATGTATACGGGAAATGGGACTACATTCAGTGTTTTGATAACCCTGTTCTTCCATGTAACCCCAACTCGTTATAGGAAAATAAAACATAAATTGTAAATTACGCTAGCACTCAGGAACAAATTAATACTTGAATACAAAGAGAGGAAAGCAAACAAAAATAAAAAAAAACAAGTATAAGTACTAAAATCTTAAGACACACCAGTTCATTTAGGTAGTTCCAGTTTCAGATATTGTCTGATTTTATTTTTGAAGCCGAGAGGTTGTAGATTTTTAAGAGGGGACGGAATCATGTTATACAGCTTACATATATTATATGTGAACGATTTTTCAAAGTAAGCAGTGTGATGGAAAGGGATATTTAGTAGACCTTCTATGGCGCAAATTTAGATTATGTAAGCTAGTTCTATATTCTAAACGATCAGCTAGGTAACTTGGTGTTTGGGTGATAATAACCTTATGGTAAAGAACTAGAGAATGCAACATTCTACGCTGAGACATATTAAGCCATCCCACCTCGATCATCTTATGTGAAATGTGATCTCTGCGCCCAATGCCATAAATAAATCTCAAACAAGAATTCTGCACTCTTTGTATACGGGTGGCAGTAGCTGTGTCAATGCATGCATGAAACAAAACATCACAATAATTAAAATGTGACAAAACAAGGGTATCTGTTAGGGTTATTTTGGTTTTAGTAGATAAAAGATGTCTATTCGGATACAAACGCTTTAGAGTAGAATATGCCTTGCGCAAACAATTATTAATATGGCTAACATACTTAAAGTTAGAGTCCATTAAAACTCCAAGATTTCTTGCATCGTGCGAGACTTTCAATACCGATCCTTGCACTTTAATCCTAATGAGATCCAAGTTCTGGATTCTAGCTTTATCTCGTCCAAAAAGCAGCACAGTGGACTTTTTTGAATTAATAAATAAATTATGGTTAGTAGCAGTTCGGACAAGCACTTCAAGTTCTTTATTTATTAATTTTATTGCATCAGATGTATCAGACGGTGGGAATGAACAATATACCTGTGTATCATCAGCATACTGATGAAATTTACAGCTTTTAAAGTCCCTGCAGATATTATTTGAATATATGACATATAAAAGTGGCCCCAAAATGGAGCCTTGTGGGACTCCACTATGTACATCAAGTAAAGAAGATTTAATGTTATCCATAAGCACACAATGCTGCCTACTTTCAAGGTAAGAGGTAATAAGTTGTACCGCAGACACATCGAAACCGTAATGATTCAGTATTGATAAAAGAAGCTTATGATTTATAGTATCAAATGCCTTAGAAAAATCTACTAATACCAAAACTGTGAGATATCCTGCATCTGTAGCTTTAATGATATCGTCGGTAATACTCAGTAATGCTGTGGTGCAACTATAATTTTTTCGAAACCCAGATTGGTAAGGTGTTAAAAGATTATACTTAAGAATGTGTTCATTTATTTGATCTTTCATAACCTTCTCCAATATTTTCGACAAAGTGCACAGTATACTAATCGGTCTTTAAGAGGCGTGTGTACTATGTATGACATCAAAGAAGAGGGTTACCTTTGATTTCTTTTAAGCTTCAAAATCCGGCTCGACTTTTTAGTTTTTAATTTTAGTCTTGTAAGTACCAGTTTAAATTCCGAATACGTTACGTTACATACGATGCATTATATGTGTTACTTGCATAGGTATTTGGACCTATACGTGCGAAGTTTTTGTCCGGAATATCAATTAATTTGTGGGAATCTATTATATGATTCAGTAATTACTTAGTTTGTTAAGCAGGGGATTTTCAACTGTACAGTGAAGATAATAAAATTTGTGAATAACGTAACTTATAATTTTGAGTATTTGGGGGACTATCTGCATACTTGCATATCCCGCTGTACATACATTTGTACAAATATCCGTCCCGCTTCCGCTTCCGTTCCCGCGTTGGTTTGAGTGGGCTTTTAATCTGACGCCAATTGTAGGCGCCTATACGTTACTGGTGTACACACTAAATTTACTACAGTTTACGATCATCATTTATCCCTTCTCTCTCTTACCTTCGCTGTTTACATTCTTACGTACTTAAACTGAATTGTGTTTACGTTTCTCTGAACAACCTGTAGCGATAATATTCCAGAAACATCGATAGACATCGAGGCGCCATGAACGATTAGTCATCGGCGATAAAGAACGAAGACGGATGTGACGTACATATAACTCAGGTAACGTATGATTTTGATCCTGCAATTAGCGCTTTATCTGAGCACAACGTTCTCAAATTTTCTTTTCATAAATCTACCCAAATTAAGTTTTGGATATAGGTACCAAACTGTCTGTTTGTCTGCAAGGGACCGTTATTATGATAACTCGACAAAGTATAGAGATTTTTTTTAACTTCTAGGTCTGCCTCTTGAATTACTTCGTAACAGAGACTAGTATAACAAGTCTCTGGTTCGTAAATGAACAAAGCGAAATAGGTGAATGTTATGTGCAGATTTTATTGTTTTATGTAGTTAACCAATTTCATTCTAAACTAAGAGTATGAGTAGGTAACAACAATAATCTTAATATAATGTGATGGACGCAAGTAGCGTCAGTAGAAGGCTTGGAGAGCTCAGCAAGTATCCACTTGAGTTTTCTGCCATGATTCATTTTCACAATGAAAATATTTCGTCCATTGCTGGATGATCTGGGAGGGTGCCCCTAATGCTAGCGGCGATTCCACGTTGGATTGCAAGCGATATTCTTTGGAATAGGAAACTTTTAGCACGGCTGTCTCCGGATTCTGCTATGAGGTTTTGTCCAATGCACTTCAAAAATGATGTTGTTTCCGAGCTGCAGGGGCCAAAGGTTTCAAAAGCTAGTGCCACAAAGAAAAAATTGTTAGATTTCAAAGCGGAATATTTTTCGTGCTTCTTCTTTGTTGAATTTCACTAGCTGATCCGGCGGTTATTGATGTTTGATGTATGTATGATGCCGCAACAGTGTCCACGCAGGTGACATCCCAAATTAAGCGTTGTCCTCTTCGCCATGGTGCTACAGTGACTCCATCTGGTCGTTTTCCATCGTCGCGTGACAAACCTACAGGCTCCAGAATTGAACAAATCTTAATTGACGCAAGAGCTCTCTGAATGATGTGATTTAGCTCTGTGTGCCGTGAATGTCTTCCCTTGCTAGATAAGCAGCTTAAACCGTAATGCCCATTTTCCTCTACAACCTTTCCACAGTTGCATTGGTGCTTTTGAAACCTCTTGCAGCCAAGGCGGAGAGCCATACAGGTTTCTAAGTCTTGGCTATCCAACATGGTACCAATGTTGGCAGAAGGAATACATTGGACCCAAGCTCCAGATAGTGCACCTTGAACTGCAAGGAATCGTGCATTATCAGTATTTGTCTGGGATTTAAATTCGCTGTCTTTAATCCGCTTGATGTTGATTAGATCGCAGGATTTTTGACTATGAGGAATTGCAGCAATCTCAGTATTTAAATAACTCCATGCCGTTAAAGCATCAGCCTGAAGGTGGATAGGAAATTGGCCATCCATATGGGGAAGAATTTGAGACGCCAAAGTCTGAATATTATTATTTACTCACCAATTTCATTATAAAAAAATACACTTTACGTAGCATGCCCCCTGGACTTTACTCAAAGTACTAATCGTCGGTGGAAAAACTTGATTTCAACTTGGCTGCTGAATGCGCCTATTGTGGAATAGTACGTTGGTAATCGTGGTTTTTAACTTGACTTTGGCCGTTGGCGTTAGGTTGGTACGCGTTTTCTGTCTGTTTTTCACATTTTGCAACCCAAAATTTTCCACTAATTTCTAAATCATGTTCTTTTTTAATTAATTATTATAATTATTATTAGTGACTATGGTAAAGCCAAGGAAAGGAGATGGTGCACGGTCATCTCGGGGCACAGTAATCGAGTTAAGTGATGACGATTGTGTGTTAGATATTTCTTGCCCTGACGATATTGAGATTGTGGAGCTTGGTAGGAACACACCAAGTCAAGTAGTAACGTCACAAAGTTATGATTCCGGCGTAGAATTCGCTTCACAAGTTAGTGTAGATGGAGGATCCCAAGATATATCCGACTTAACCACAGTTCCCACTGAAAGCGTAGAGTTGTCATCACAAGAATCTGATAAAACTGCAGACCCTATTGATATTACTGATAGTGCCGCATCTCAAGATTCGCAGGATGTAATTGTGTTAGATGTCGAGAGTGCAGTTAACGCTCAAGACTCGAACAGTGATAGTAAAAAGCGATTATTGCAATTGGAAGAGGAGATACAACAGTTAAAGGCGGAAAATGAAGCATTGAAATCCAGTACGTGCTCATGCCAAACCATCAAAGATGCAATTATAACGATTAGGTTTGATAGTTTAAATTCTTTTAACACATACCAAGAAGCGATATGCAAGCTGTTCAAAGAATGCATCGACTTGGAGCTTGATGAACGGAAAGATGATTTGTTAATTCGTATTTATAAAGATGGCACCATTAACCGAAATGAGTGGGTTGTATTAGATGAATTAGAAGTGACGTTACCACTTGATAAGCGTAAGAAAAGAAGGAAAAGAAAAATTTCAGTAGAAGAAAGTGAAAGTTTAAATGACACATTCGTGTTAGATACAACACCCTCGTTAAGCACTAATAAAAATAATTTACGATACGAAAGTAAGTTTGACATTGCTAGTGCTATAAATAAAGGGGCGGACGAGGTCCCCAAGGCCGGTTCCGGTACATGCTTTAATTGTGACGGTTCCCATAATTTACGTGACTGCCCACATCCCAAAGACTACGCTAAAATTCAGTTAGCAAGACAAAAATTTAAACCGCAAAATAAATCTACGTAAGTACTAAAGCGATTCTCTGGAGCAGATGTGATAAGATTGACCCCTATCAAGATCTTATTACAGGTTGCTTTAGCATTAGCGATATTCTGTAGGTCTTGTTCGTGGTGCAGAATGTGGTTCATTCTTAGTGTGATTGTGATTTTAATTGACCTTTTTTCTAGCGTTTATCGAAGGTATCACTTGGATTGCGACCAGAAATTTGAAGTTTTTAAGCCGGGCCAAATTTCGACAAAATTGCAAGAGGCATTAGGTATACGCCACTATCAATTACCCGAATATATATACAGAATGAGGAAGTTGGGTTATCCGCCTGGATGGTTTAGTGAAATTGTAGATTCGAGGGACTCCAACTTGGTTCTTTTCGATTTTAATGGTAAAGGTGCGGAAGAACAAAAGAAAATGGTGCCAGATCTAGACATGAATCAAATCATTGATTATCACGGATTTAACATACCCTTAAGGAAAGGTTTTAAAGATGTAAGTGTCAAAATCACTGGCAAACATGGTTTTGCAATAAGTAGTCTATACCTTGAAGATGTGCCAGGTAGCCATTAAATAAATTTCTCTGTCCTTTTTGAAATTAAAACTTGCATAACTTTTAAATGTGACAACCAATTGCCTTTAGGTGCCAATGCGAGTAAAACTTGAAAATTAGGAGGGCGGTAGGTAACTCCTTATCAAAAGGGGGGGGGGGGTTGAATAGAACTGGTTGAAAGGAATTAATTTCTACCAACCATAATACAAAGGATTCTTGAAGGTAGGTGGCAACAAGTGGATTTGGGTGAATGTGTCTCATCAGCGATAACAAAAACATCGGGAGTACCCCAGGGATCTCTTTTGGGCCCACTCGTGTTCTCTGTGTACTCTTCGGCTTTTAACAATAGTGTTAATCATGTAAATTTAATCAGTAACTGTAACCACGGTATTTAGCCACTTCACAATTTTACGACTTCAGAGACACAAATATTCAAAATGTTCACATTTCCCATCCAAGTAGGCACTATAAAAATAGATGTACACAAAAATACAAACTTAAAAAGTCCGGAAAATTAAAAAAACTCGAATATTAGATAAATTTGTAAATTTAAAAAACTTCCCTCAAAAATGTTTAACGGAATTGTAAATTAAAGAAAACTTAAAAAATACTGAAATACTATAAAATGTCTAAAAAAAAACAAATGACAAAAATAAATTAAAATATTAAGCGAAAATTAGATGAGAATCTAAGATTCAGCTACAATGAAATTGAAGAGTTCCAAAAAAATCTGAGAAATAAAAAAATTGTAGGTCATCAAAATTCAAAGTGAAAACGCATTCAAACGTACCCAAAAATTGCTCCTTTTTGTGACTAAAAAAACACATCTGAAATTTTTGAAAAACTTGTTAAAAATCCAATATCCATAAGAAATGAGTCTATAAGAAATGAGAAAGTAATAGCCTGTAGCTTCTACATCTAGCATGTTATGGAAATTCTGACTAGACTCAGGTTCTCCGAAAAAAAGTGCTATAGAAGATGCTAACGGGAGCCGTCCATTTCCGACCGTTTAAGGTAGGGAAAATGGAAACGAAATTTGACATTTTCAGTTTTTCAGTGATATCTCAGTTATTTTCAAAGATTTTTCAAAAATTTCAGATGCGGTTTTTTAGTCACAAAAAGCATTTAGCATACACTATCCCTCACCATTACAGAGAATCCTTGAATGTGAACCGCACTACTCATTTTTTACTTTTCCGAATTTTTCCGAAATCTTTGAATTTTTTATTTTATTACATTTTCAATTCTAAAGTTTTTATGTGAGGTTTTTGAAGATTCCATTTGTTTAATTGTTTGACCTTTTCTAAATTTCAATTATTATGTTTTTTTTTTAATGGAACATAGGGAAACACCATTGCGTGCAAAATCGTGTGTTCCAATATAAGATAAACGCACTGTATGTGTCTACTTCCCTGAATTTTTTTAATTTTTAAATTTTTTATTTGAATTTTTTACCTTTTTGAATTTATGTACGTACTTGAATGTGTTTTTGTAGAACCCTAATTTTATATTTATGTAATTCAACTTCGAATTTTTTGAATTCTCAAAATTTTTTTGGAACATCTGAATTCCATTGAAGTTGAACTATAAAATTCTCATCTAATTTCCGCTTTAGTAATTTTAAGAGTTTGTATTAAATTTTATTCATTTGGTTTTTGTGTAGACATTTTAGGGGGAAAACAACTTTTCCGAACATTTCTGGGTATTTCAGAATTTTTTTAATTTCATTTAATTTTCAATTTTGTCAATTTTTTGAATTTTCGCATTTATCTAATATTTGGTTTTTTAATTTTCCGAACCTTTCGGAATTTGTTTTTTTCTACTTCGCGTGAAGAATGTGAATACGTTTGCTGATATCTTGTTAATCTGATTGAATTTCTGTTTTTTTTTAATTTCCGATTTTGTTCTACATTTTTTGAATGCTGGGTACACTCGCCTTAACCTTGCGGTTGTCACATTCTTGCCCTAACTTTTGATGGAACAAAGGAACCCATTGTTTGCCATGGCTACCTTACTACAGGTAGATTTTTAAAATGTTTTATTTAAAACCATCTCCCTCTTTTCGATTATGATTTAAATTATCCGAAAGGCAAAAATTGGTTTTGATCATTTTTTAACGTAGAATTCAGTGGCGTAGCATTTTACAAAATAAATACAGGGTGTTTACGGTCTTCTATTTATCCTTTTAAGGGGGGGTATTACAGCTCAAAAGGAGTCGAAAAAACCCAAAACACCTTAGTAAAAGTTTTTTAATAAGCGAGATAATAAATGTTTTATTTTTTATTATTAAACGATTAAACTGTGTGCACATCTAGCAATCTGCTACTTATTTAGCATTGTCTATTCTTCATTCTTCAATTATTTTTTAGTAGGTATCTTTACAAAAGTTGTTCGAAGTTATCACCTTCTTGTTGTATGCAAAGTCTGGCTCGGCGTGTACATGAAACGAACGCGTGTGCGGACAAATACGTATTTTTGCATATTTCCTTAAATTTTAAATATGTTTGTTAATCAGTCAAGAAGAATTGCAATTTAATGCTTTGAGTATTTGATTGGATTTGTAATTTCACGAAAAAAACTGAATTACAAATTTTGTCGACCTGCTCTGAAAAAACATCAAACAAGAAAATTAAATTTTGGGATTTACGCCTTACCTCTTTGCATAGATAATTTTCGAATAGCATGAAAACGCCCTTGGTTCCTCCCTCCAAAGAAAGGTCGCCACTGTGCTCTTGTACATAATAGACATTGCCGTTCCCAACACTAACAATAGCAAATACATTGATTGTAGAACATAAATCCCAATGGTGAATTTAATTAATTGTTTAAGTGTAATTAGTTAACCAGGCCTGAGTTCTAACAAGAAACAATGACCATAATAATAACAATATAATTTACCATTTTATTAATAAATTGAATATTCTTTATTAAGTAGTGCTAGTATTGCGAGCAGCTACATTATCAATAACATAAAAAAATGTACAGTGTGATGGAATGTATTATTCAAGTAATTCTTTTAGGAACACCGACTGTATGATTCTCCTCCATACTCGAAAGAATTAAGTAAGTCAAAAATGAAGGCATTTTTGGACCAATATACCAAGGACAATTTAAATTCTTGCGAAATGGAGGTTGACCACGTTGCATCTGATAAAGAAGTCGAAGTTATAAACGTTTTAAAAGATGACAAGGTACTTTATCATCGATTACTTTGTGTTCCTCAGCTCTGTAAATCTTTACTTCCACTTAGGCTGAGCCAGTTAAGAAAACCAGTTCACCCACCTTAGACGAATTGGAAATAAAGAAGAAAAAGCTACTGGATCAATTAACAGAGGATGTCGGTAGTAATTCGGTTTCTGAATCGAAAATTGACACAGACACCACGATTGACAATTTCGTCACGCTTGACGAAACTGGGCCGGATGCTACTGCTGAAGCGGGCGAGCTAGACGATTCTACAATCGAGAAACAGTGTGAAAGTCCAATTTTGAAGACGATCAAAACAAGCTACTTCGGTACTCCGCTAATAAAGGGTGCGTCACCTTACTCGCGACTACCTCACTGTGACAATTTTACTAAGAACGTGTCGGACGTTATTAATTTCGAAAACCTGCCCAATTCGACAGGTAAGTATGACCAAATGGTGGTTGTTATTGAAAAGGTGCGTAGAAGTTTAAACAATAAGAAATCATGATATGTGTGTATGCTATACCTTTAAATTGTTATTTTTGAGACGTAATCTGCATTTGTATCGTCAAAGATGTCTAAATTGTAACTATTTCGATATCGCATTTAAGTACAAATTAGAAAGTATTCATGATGTATTTTAAAGGTTTCGGAATCTTATTGTTTATCACATCTATTTGGTATAACAGTTAATTTGAACTCTAAACAATGTTGATATAAGAGCTGGTTTATAAATGAAGTAAATATGTTTTCTACTATAAATTGATTGTTTGTTGAATTGGAATTCGTGTTATTTTATTGACTATTTCTAAATGAGTAGGATTTCACCCAAAGCTGCTCTACCAATATTACTCACATGCCACAGGATATTTACAAAACAATTTTACATGCGCGGCGTATGGAATGTTTTCGACATGTGTATTCATACACTGGTATTCGCGTATGAATTTGCACAAAAATTGAATGACCATACTGTAATGATCTTAGGAGTCCCCCAACCAGGCACTTTAATCGTGTCTAGTGCAGTTGGCAATTCTGAGTGAAATACCCGAAAGCCATCTACCTTTCAAGGCGAAACGACGGATGTCTCTTGGCACTTTTGAATCTCGATAGCAGTCTGCTTGGACTGGGTACTTTGTGTACCTGTACTCAGTACTGACGGTTCTTTTATGTGTTGGACGTGTCAGACATAATTGGGAAGGAAATTGAATAAAACGCAGAATTTTGTGCTTTAGAAAAGGCAAGAACAAATGAAATATTTACGCACACAAAAAGCGTTACAAGCAAAACCTTTTGTGGAAAAAAATCCTGGCATAACCCACCCCACATGAAATAAATCAACTAAGACAAAATAGAGAAATACACAAGTCCAGCATCTCAAATCGACAATTACAATCAAGTCATCGGGTCCAATGCAGTGAAACAAAGTAATAAAACGAGATACATGTGGCAGTAAACAACAAAATGGAAAAAAACGACAAATTATTATTATTATAGTCGAAGACATGAGCAATCAATTCCGTACAAAAACGCATTAAAAAAATCTACGATCAATTTAGGCAAAACAACTAGTAAAATGGTAAATTGCCTGTACAAAAAAGTACAGTGAGAATGCCAATCGTAAGTATTCATGTCAAAGTCCATTATCGCCCAAGCAAAACACATAAGTAAAAGAAATGTTCCATAGAGGAATCCCTTCCCTAATATGCTAAGACACGAGATCAGTAGTCCGCGCGAGAAAGAAAGCAACAGATACAGCGAAGAACAGACTGTATTAGGTACTATGCGGAAATAGTTAAACCACTCGTACAGAGAAACATGAAATTAGTGGACTCTTTCTCGTATATGCTAAGACACAAGAGCTGCAGCCCGTACGAGATGTAGGAACAACATATGTAGCTGAGAAACAAACTGCATGGGGTACTCCCTCCACAGAATAATTAAATCGAAGCATACAAAGCAACAGCACACTAGGTAAGTACTAATAAACTTCCTCATGAATACATAAATAAATATTTAATGAAACAATATAAAGGCATAATCACTGTACAGTACGAACAAATGAAAGTAAAAGTACACTTGAAATTCAATAGTTAATAGGCAGTACAAGAAAGAGTAAAATGATTACTACCTGTAAAATACAGTTTTCAAATAACAACAAACAAAACAAAACGGTAGACTCGCCAGTACTCGGACTGCTTGGGTTCGAATGCAGTTAACTGTAACTTTCTTGCCAAGTTTTGTTTGTAAAAAATCTCTTTTCACGCAACCCCGCAGAACGATCAAAGTTGTAAACACAGAGCGTTTCTTATTTTTTGCCATACTGCCACTCTTTCTAATGTAAGGTGTGTTGCCTAACCATAGGGGTATGTTACAACAAGGTATTGTTGCATGAATGCCGCCCACATCTCCAGACGTCTCTCCTCCACCAGATGTACCCTGTCTGGTGGTTCCGGTGCCTTTATAGGTATGCCTAGGCGCCTCTCTAATTTTTTTCTAACCTGCTTTTTGTGAGGGCCTTTGGGCGGATTTTTGGATTAATGTGTGGCGTAACCCCCCCCATCCCCCGGTTTCTCTCAATCTCGTCCCACAAGTTTCGTGACGCGCGTTCTTTCCGAAATGAGTTTTCCTTGAGGCTTGCGTTCTTAGAGCTTCCCTCTCTTCTACCTGAGTACTCTATCTTGTTTGTAGTCTCCTTATTTTCGTACAATTCTGCTGTTCCTCTATCTCCTTTGTTCACTCAAAAACTCTGGGCTGGGATCGATTTCAAACGGCCCGCTCAAGGCAAAGGTTACACGTAAGCGTGCACTAAAATTTGCGCCCGTCTAATGGGAATTTTTCGCAAGGATGTTTTTAAAAATACAGAGTGTTAATTATTGCCATGTAGATATTTAAGGGGGTGATAGCACTCGTCAAAATAAGAAAAAATGCAAATATGTGCGTGGTGTAAAGGGCGTCATTTTCATTATACAGGGTGGTAAGGTTTCAATTTTTCTTTCTGTTTTGCGTTGTCTCTCTTATGTTCTGAGATAATTGTTTCAAATTCGATACATCAATTATTTTTTAGAATCTCGACAATATCAAAATAGTTAGTCGCGGTATACAGGGTGTTGCATTTGCTTTGCCACCCTGTATAACGCAAACGACACCTTTTAGAGCCAATTTCAGGCTAATTCCAATTCAGCCGAGTTGAACATTAAGTTATTTGTAGCTTTAAAAATGTGTTCTCGCATTTTTTGAAAAGCAAAGTTGTACAAAAATGCGACAGAGTTTTCCGAAGGGATAACGCGTCTGCTATTTACCTACAAATATGCCTCCCGTGTATTGATTTTTGCGTCCGTGGTCCGTCTCTGCGACTTACGCCTAAAGCCGGCCCTGAATTTTCAAACAAAACTCCTTTGTGGTCAAAGTTTGATTAGGACTCCAGTTTTGAGTTTCTTCGCATAATTCTAGCAGTAAGCATTTGGATGCTCTTAAGAGAAGCGATGTCATTGGTGCATTGCTCTAGTAAACTTTACCAAAGGAGTACCGCGAACTTAAATACAGAAGCTAAACTACCTAAGATGAACATTTTTAATAAAACATCCTGCATGTTTGAAACGTATTGATAATATATTGAAATCTTATCAGCCTAGGAAGAAAATATGTAGGGAAATTATTTGTAGCACAAGATGGATTGTATTGGGCGGATATCGTCTGAAAAAATGGGAACTTATATGTGCGCGCATATATCATGCCGTAATACGAAGGGAAGTGATTTTCAGCGACAAATGTCTTGGTACGAAGTTAATTAAAGCATACCTACAGTGACTGTGAGTGAAGCACCCTGTACATTGTAGTTTATTGATTATCGATAAGTTTATTGTGCAACCTATCGGCTAGAATTTTTGGTTCAAAGTTTCACTGAACAGCACAAGTCACAATTATAAGTTGACTCTATAACAGTGGGGGTTTACAGTATAGTTGAATTCCGCAGTTCTAATTTAATAAGCGTGTACCTGAAACCATAAAACATTTGTTTGGACAGTAAAAGTTTATTTAAAAATAGAGGCTGATTAGCAAGAAAATAATGAACATGTGCGGTTTTCAGGGATTATTCAAAACGATATGATTGTGGCGGGCTCAGTGACGTAATAAGCCCGACCAATCAGCTCCTAGAACCATTCAGATGACATAACGACTTGGCAATATTGCAGGAGAATGGCATTTATAACTTGCGTCATCTGTCACAGGCACTTGTCACTTTCGTGCTAGATGCAGTCACAGCCGTCTATAATTACAAGCCATGCTGAGAAGTTTGGCAACATTGTTCGAAAGTCAATCGGTGGGCCGATTCAAGTTTTAATGGCGTCTTGTTTCTCTTGAAAAATGGCATTTTTCCTCTCCTGTGTTTCGCCTTGGTGGTTTTAATACAGAAGAAAGATACTTAGGCAGCTTACAATTGTACATATATTTTATTTATTTACAAAAATGGATAATAACATTTTTATTTGACTTTAAAATTTGGAACGCTGTAAATTGGTAAATGCATTATAATGTGTTTTCCATCGAGATCTACGAAATTGGTGAACTTCTGTCGAAAGAGGTCGAGGTAAAGCACCCGCTTGAGCACTTAATTTCGGCAAAAGGACAGTAAATCGCTCTGCATCAGCGAGGTTTTATCAACGACCAGGTGTGATTCGGAATGGCAAACTTTAAGCCAGTCGCTACTCCAGTGGGTCTAGGTACGTAGCTTTTAAAGAGGGGAGCACCGTAGACTTCAAATTCCCGTACCGTGAACTCCTGGGACGGTTCCTTCAGAAAATCGACTTGACATGTCCGTGCTAGAATACCTCAAATACAAACTAATTGTGTTTTTTCACGATAAACACTTACCGTACTTACGTACCATGTAGTGTGTAGGTCATATTTGAGCTTGTACAGGTACTTTGAACAAATACAAGTGCTTGTAAAGGGTCCAGTAAGGAGTAGTCTGCTTTAGAGGTTATGACAACAAATCGATATATTTCGTTTAGCAACTTACCTGAATAATAATTTCTGTTGATTCCATACGGAGTAACACAAATTTACGCAATCTCGCTCTGTTAAAACAAGTAAATAGGAATATTACACCCAAAACACATATAAAATACACCTGAAATCTGTCAAGTTGAATTAGGAAATCGGCCTACCATGCAGTGTTGCCATAATTCTCAGCACGGCTTGTAATTATAGACGGTGTGTGATGCAGTTAAACATCCCTCTCAAAACGTCAAATGTGACAAACGTCAGACCCTCGCGTAAGGTTGCCAGCTCACTTCTACGTGATTGGTTGCGGTTGTAGGTTTGTGACGTATTTAGTCTGAAGCGTTTCAAATTCGGACTAAAAACACAGCTTTTCAATAATTTATTTTGGGTTTATTTTACTCGCAAATAAAAATTGAGGACACACGGGTTTTTTATTTTTAATGTACTTTGTGGATCAGAAATAAAAAATGAAGGCGGGATGACCCCATTATTGTACATTTAATATGTATTTTTCTTAATTGACTGATACATATGTATGTATTTTTTATTAAAGATTGTAGGTATGTACCTACCTACGTAAAACAGAAAAAGGAAGGTAGGTAAATATAACTATTATACTAAAATTAAAGTTTATATGAATAGATATTGTATTTAGTTTGCACTGTTACTAATCTATTTTAATAATAGCGTCAATTACTTTATAAGCGACACGATTATTTTGTTTTAAGCACTGTAAACTTCATCATCTAGAGTTGCTTTACGTAAGTACTAGCTCTGCCATGGATGAAAAATGAGTGACCTCTAAAGAGCCGCTAGTAATATTATTTACACCAAGCGCAATAGTATTGTATTGATCTTGGGGGTACCCAAGTCGGCACTACAATTTTGAAATTGAAATTCAGAATTGTCAGAAGCTTTACTATGATTTATTTCTATTATAAAATAAAGTTTTGTATTATACACGTCGATAAATGAAAACTAACCATCTCGTGAAGGTTAACTCACTCAATAAATATCCTTTTATGGTGTTATAACAGGTGGACAGGTGAAAATCTACTTTTACCTGTCCACCCTGTATATGTAATAAATAGCGGATTGACATTTTAATAGGTTTGGATGAGTAGGCTAGACCGCTTTTATATACGAGGATACAGTCCTCCATAGTCTGGTATCTCGGATACATGTGTAACAACTAACATTGCGTTTTAGGGTCCACTCAAATCGAGGCGGTACAGATGCGGGATATATTTCTACAAAGGTGTATGCGTGCAAACCGCCGCATCGGTATATGCATTCTTCCATATACTGCTGTACAAATATATGCCGCTCCCGTGCCCGCATTCCCGCCTCGGTTTGATTGGAGCCGTTTACCACCCGCATACAACTACCGGCGACTAAATTTCCGTCTGTTGGGCTATGGGATCATATGGAACTGTTTACGCGAGCGGAACCGGCGACGCACCAAGCCGGTATATGGGCACTCCGCACTTGTTCAGTCGTCGATGCAATCTGTTAATTATGTAACATAAAAATTTAGAATGACACACGTCCGTGGAGGGGGGGGGGAGGTTTATTAATTAGCGCTTTATAATAAGTACAGTTTTTCGCTCTTGATATGTCTGTCTGCCTGTCTGAGTCACAAAAGCTCCGGACTTACACCACTACAGACTTGGTATTGGTGTCATTCGATCAGAAATTAAAAATTATTTCATGTTTGTATTCTCGTTAAGGCATGAAATTTTATTTTGTTTTTTTTTTGTTGAGTGGGCGGGGTTTCAGCCAAGGCTGCTCTACCAACCCAACCCACTATACATTTACAAATATCCATGCCCGAACACGGATTCGGAAATTTTCTGTGTTTATTCCCTGGACTGCTATGTCTACTTCTAAATGACAAAATCGCTTTTGAAAAGTGCCTACTTAATGCAACCAAGATACCCGAATGGTAATATCGTCCAATATATGGGGAAGGTATTAAATATTTTCTCATAACGAAATAAAGATCTGGCTGCCATATTAATTAATTTCAATATTGTTGCTTTGGCTTCATAGAAAATAAATCTCTTACGCTTCTTAAAATGTTACTGGCACTATATACCAATAGACAATATCAACATTTTCTTCAGTTGAATACATTGCACACGAACGAAAATAAAAATACGGAAACCAAAGCAATAATATTCAAATTGATTTAATGTGACAGCCAGATCTTTTATTTGTTCTTAAGACGTTGTTGTGGATGTATAGGTATAAAATCAGGCGCTCTTCGGAAGAGATATTCAGCCCTGTGATGTATCACTAACGTTAAACTTAACGTGCATATAGAAAACGTCAATTCCCCTATACCATAGTATAATTATTATGCCTTGCCTATACTAATTAACGCTGTTTGTGGTGGTCTGATCGTCGAAAATATTAGAATGTGTAAACTGATGTAAAGCTCTAAAATAATCACTGGACTTTATTTACCCTATCAGTATTCAACATTGTTAGGCAACTGTTGAAATAAGTTAGAAACCTGTACAAACTTTGCTGAAAGTGAATAATGTATTCAAAAAAAGAAAATAAATTTGTTGGTTTTAGGTCAAATGTCAGCAACGGAAAAATATCTTAAGTAGGTAGTTTTTACCCTTCTATCTTACGTTTTCACCCTGTATTTTCGAAACAAAGGTAGCTAGATCGATTCTGTTTGTAGTATTAAAGCCTAAACGTGTAACAAAACATGTGGCACAGGTACACGAGAACCGAAAGACTTTCTCTTTAAAAACAGTCGAGATAAAACTGCAGTTTCAACCAAAATAGGTCATTTAAAAGATTAACGATAAAATATACTTTATTAAATCTGTTTCAAATGCACAAGATAAAAACAAATATAATACGTATCTATAGTATAATAAATCACAAATAATAATACCAAAGTGCATCTTAAAAATATTACACCATGCTGAATATTCCACCAAAGTTAAGAGTGTAAGGAATGTATGGAAATATTTTCATTTATCAAAATTTACATATTTTTCTTGAATCGTAAAACGAACCTTACTAAGAAGAATATTATCTTAACTTAAATATCAATTTATTTACTGTGTTAAACAAATAAAAAAGCGACATAGTTACAGTACGCCCTAGATTAAAAAAAAACTGAAATATTGCAAAAGAATTTACTTAGCTCGTTTCAAAATTATGAAAGCGTAGGTGGTGTCGGTGGAAATCCATTTGAACCCTAAAACGTAAAGTGACTCCAAAATTTTCTTAGATAAAAACTTACGTTATCGTTATTAGAGGGTTTCGACGGACCTTCCAATGATGCAGATTGAGGTCTAAAATAGTACATCAGCAAAGCAAATGCAATTATTAATGTCGTAAATACGAAGTTATCTGTGCTTAAATTTTGGTTGCCGTCGGCTAAAAATAATGATGAAATACCTGTGTACTTATTTAGATATAGCTCGTACCTGTTTGAAAACATTCGTTATCCGTGCAATGAGATTGTGATTGTCGTAACTACAAGTTTAATCGATTCAATTATATGTTAATAACACCTACTTGAATGTTACCAATGATAGCAATCTTCTCATGGCCATCTCATGGCCCCAAACACATTCACAAGGATCAAATCCGCCTTCATCTGCCATTTTTCGATTTTTTTTTGTATTTACAGAGACTGACAACCTGGAAGAGTATTTATAAGAATTACCTAACTACCTACATTAAAATTGTGTAAATGTGGCAACTTTCAATATGTCAACTTACTGATTGGTAAATTGGAAATTGTTATTAAATTATTGTCAGTTGTCAGGTGTTGTTTAAGACGGCTTCTTTAAATAACTATTTTTAATCCATTCTGAACGCTGTATTTATGTTTACTTTTATTATTTACGTATACAAAGCGACACTTATCATTTTATCTAGCAAATCACCTGTGTCGCAGTTAGGAATATATGCATATGTGGACCAATGGCAAAGGAGGGATACAGAACCGGACTTGCCTCATTTCGTTGGGAAATTTTTGTTTTGTGATCGACGATCGAAGTAGTTCACGTTCACCCGTGTGACTGTTTGACACTTTGGTATTTTTTGAGCTAAAGTCACCATAATTAGCATAGGTTTTTGTCTCAGACATGTTTAAATACTCTAGTAGTGACCCCGTGAAGTGTTGAGCCACCGTGTTGTGCTTATTGAATTGTATTATAGTCCAGTAAATTACCTAGAAATAATTTTCTAAAACGGGATAGGTACTTTGCACGTGTGTTGTACTATAATAGTATCTCATTAACAACATATCAAAAATCAACACTCGTGCATGCTGTGATTCGGCCGCCATCTTGGAAAGTGCTGGCCGATTTCCACTTTTTTTTTACTATATTTCACTAAACGTTGGAAATAAAAAAAATAATGTGTGTCCCAGATAGAACGCACCAATGTATCCACGAGGCCTTTGAAATTAGCGTTTAACGTACTACTCCAATCTCTTTCTAGCATGAGGGAAGCGCAATTGAATAAACGTACGTTGAACGCTAACTTCAACTACATATCAAAGGGCTCGTGGATCCTTCGCGAAATGTTGTTACCCTATGTTGTGTTTTCCCTGGAACACACGGTATAGCGTATAGGGTTGTTATTATTTATTATTTTATTAGTATTACGAAACCGGACCTGAACATGTCGTGGGTATAAGTAGGTACGGGACGACACGAGTGATATGTCACTTACCTACTTCAAGATAAGGTATAAAGTAAGCTTGCGATTGTTTGATATCGCTGATAATAATATATTTATATTTTGTCTACTTTATCCAGAAAAACAAACGGGAAGTGGGTACCTAGGGCTTTTGAGTTTTTGGTAGCGTCGGTACCGCCTCTTCAGAAAAGGAACAAATTTTTCCAAGTGATCGTATCTTCACTTGCAATCCCATACAATCAAATTGTTAGATTGTGGAAACCCTTGAACCCTGTGTGTATCTATCTATGCAAATTCGGTTTGTCAAAAAGACGGCATAAATTCGATTCGTACCGGATGTACTTAACGTAAGTATTTTGCGCGAAAGTACCTATTTGAATTTATTATCGGTCACATTTCATATTTTATACTTTGTACCAGTAGGTGTATGTGCAAGTAGGTATGCTGTCAAGCCTTACAAAAGGTGGTTATACAACCTTTCATTCATAGTTATTCTGAAAAACGTCCCTGATTTCAAAAATGGAAATATCACGCCACGCTATTAATTCCTAAAAACGCGAGAAACTACGAACATAATACACTATCAAAGACAAAGTTTGCCAGGGAAAAAAGAAGATATTTTAACAATATTTAAAAAATAGTGATATTTACATTTTTGAAAAAAAATGCTCTATCAAATAATACAAAAAGTAAAAATGACTTCCATTTCCATAAGAAAAAACAAAGTTGATGATGGTTAACCGGACGTTTTTACTAGAAGAACTGGAAGCTGCCATCCGAAAGACCAAATTCTGTGCACCTGGATATCCATAACGAAATACTTCGACACCTGAATCCTGAAACGAAAGAAAATCTTTTAAATTATTACAACTCTTGCTGGCAAAAGTGTACCTACTTACCCTACAGAATCCATAATTGTTCCTATCTTAAAACCGGGTAAAGACCCGATGCTTGCAAAACACTATCGACCAATAAGTCTGACCTCCTGTGTAGGAAAACTGCTAGAACGTATGGTTAACGAGAGGCTCCAGGAGTTTCTGATGTTTGTTCAGACGAGTATGTGCTAGCAAATGGTGTCCCACAGGGATCAATATTGAATTGTTCTCTGTTCGCCATTGCAATTAATGAAATAGCGGTAGGGCATATGGAGCAGGTCGCCAGATGTTTAGGTATATGTCGACGACCTTATGGTATGCTGCAGCGGAGAGACAATTGGTGAAATTGCACGAAAACTACAGAAATCTGTTAATCTTGTATCTGAGAATGCAAATTTTTTAAAATCTTTTTTAAAGAAATAGGTCTCCTTAATAAAATCTAATACTTACTTTGAACTTATCTTGTAATAAAGGCCAAAGTCTCAGCAGCTGACGCCTAAGGAGGGATTATAGTGGGTATACCCAATATCCGGGGGAGCTCCACACTTTGTGCGTAAATGCATTTCCCGTCCTAAGAAATAAAAAACAAGTAAAAAGGTTTTCGCCCTAAGGCGAGTAACTTCAGTGCATTTTCCATAAATTAATCAATACTTCCCCAAAGGCCATAAAGGCATATATGGTTAAAATTTTAAAGAAATATCTTCATAAATAAGGAATTTGACATTTACTGCGCAGTTGATTGCGCGTCCTGCGCAGGCGCTTATTAATCTGATATTCACAATATGCAATACGTTTGCTTTTACTATAAGCATCTTTGGTTAAAATTTCAAACAAATATCTCCATAAATAAGAAAGTTGGCATTGCACAGTCTGCGCATGCGAACATCTGATTTTTACTATATGCGATATATTTGCCTTTACTACAAGTATTTGTCATTAAAATTTCAACAAAATATATTAATAAATAAAAAAGTTAACATTGCGCAGCCTGCGCATGCGCAGTTCAATCGTCAAGATTTTCCTTGACTCAGGTGCCAGAGCGATACGCTACCGAATGCAAAAAGAACGAACTAAATATCTTGAAAACTGTAGTAGTTAAGGCTCTTAAGGCGAAGCGTTGCGAGGCGAAACGTCATTTAGCCGATGTTCCGCACACTAGAGCGAAGAGTCACGTGGCGTCTGGTACGGAATCAGGCACTGTGAGAATATTATTTATTTTTAGCATTTGAAAGTAGTACTTCGTTCAGTGTAGATGCGAGTAGTTCTTCGTCAGAATAGAATCTTTTTGTATCGAGTTTAATTGCCAGTATGGAAAAAGAAGAACCAACCAAGTTCACAGTATTAATCAAAAGATGGAGCCGAGGATGGAGCCGACGGTGAATTTCATCACTTGTTTAATGACCTTAGATAAAAAGAAAATGTTTAATATTTCCGTATGTCAGATGAAAAGTTTTCTGAGCTTTTTAGTTTACAAAGGGTTCTGACATGGATCGATAAAAATTTGAATCTTTTGTTCGGTTCTATTTACGCGAAGCGTCGAGTCTCGGGAGAAACGACTCCTAGTTGCTCTGAAGACCACGCGCGCGCCAAACGACGCGCCTCTTCGATTCCTGCCGCCGAAGTGAGCGGGTTACCATTAAAGTACATGTAAACTTCAAAGGCGAATAAAAAACGCAACGCTTCCCTTCGCGACGCTTGGCCTAAGTGAGCGAGCACCTTTAGGTTAGGTACAAACAGGTACAAAGTTGTGGGCGTTTTTTTAAAAATTGAATGTATAAGAATTTTGCACGGTGCTTCTCTAAAAGAATGCGCCGAGTTTACTATTTGAGATAGGGTAAAACGATCAAGCTGATTTTAATATTCTTGGAAAAATGGACGGAGAATATGAAAATCACTTTCCAATATTCCTACGGACAAAAAAGTTTTCCTATCGGGACATCTAAATTGGACATCCCGTACAGTTAAGACTATTTGTATAGATTATAATGTAAGGTAATTAATTCTCTTGATAGCAATATCCTCATAAGCTATTTCCAGTGTTTCTTTGATAATATTATATTGACATATGAATGTGGAAGTTGACGCAACATTCAAGTTGTGGAAATACCTATTTACATATTTTATATATCAGAAGTTTGGTCTTCTCAATTCGTATATCCCACCAATATCTCATCTATATGGATTTCTATTAAAATATGAATTAAACAAGAAAATTGACACATAATTAGTGATGATATCTTGAAATTTAGTAAATAAAGTGAACATATTGTAGGTCAGTACCATAGAACCGATTTTTTTTTGTTTTTTACTTTCACTTTCTATGTATAAGTTGTCGTATTTCTTCATCTACATGCATTTGATTTGGCAAGAACAGTTTTCCTGCACATTCTTTACGGTGAAGTGCATTTCTGTACCAATATTTATTAATAAAGAATGGGGTAAGTAAAGACACAACATTGTATATTGTTGAATATAACACACTTATGCCTTTGTAATGAAAAGGCAAGCACCTATTCACTTACCTATAAATATATCATTGCGAAAGGCGGTTAATTGTTTGATTTGAATGTTGCCATATGATTTCATAAATAAACAATGCATGGATCACATGAACGATTTCAATTAAATCACCCGAGTGGGTACAATAGCATATAAAAATTAGTTCACCCTTAATATACCTATGTACTAGAGCGAATCCAATTGCGATCAATTGTTTTCACGTTGAAAAAAATCGGAAAAGGATATACCCGAGGATATACCTATCCTATTATAATGGTAAGCCGCTAGTTCCATCTTTATATCTATTATGATTATAAAGGAAAACAAGATTAAAGCGCATTTTTTGTAAAAAGATCAGTATTTTATTAGCAATGTTCAATATTATCGATCTCAAAATAGACTACTAGAGCCTACACACCTACACTATAACAGAAAGCTTTTAGTGAACATTTGAATCCTTTAGCTATTGTAATCCGCTAAAAATGAAAAAAGGGCGTCAGCGCATTTTCCATGAACTGATCAGTACTCGTTAAAAGGTCATGTGACGGACTATTAATGTGTACAAAGGAAAATAAGTTATGGCATAAGTATTTATACCAAACTTAGCATTACGCAGTCTGCACCTGAGATGTTTAAAATATGCGATATGCTTGTCTTAACTACAAGAATCTTTAAAAATTGAAATTTTAAAAAACCATGCGCACATATGATTTTTACAATTTGTCTTTACTAGATGAATCTTTGGTTAAATTTCCGTTGCGGCGGTCAAAAATGTTTTTCCAGAAATCTGACCCGTTATTTTTCGATTACGTATACCTAATATTCAGCCTTTTAGGATTATTTGTTGGTACTGTATACGTTCAATGAAGTTTTCTCTTTTTATTTTGCTTT